ATGCCCTATTTGCTGGGGATGCAACGAATGCATAGGTGATGGGGCACATGCCCTATTTCTGTGCCGACAGCGGCATGTGGGGCTGCAGCCCAGCTGAAGCAGGGGTGGCAGCGGCAGCATGGCTTCTGTGCTGATGGTGGAGTGAGGGGCTGCAGCCAGGAGCAGTGGGGGCAGTGGCGCAGAGTTGTGTCACTTCCTTCATTCTTGAACATCAAAACCCCACATAGTATTCCAGTCCTCAACAAGTTAAAATTTTAGGTAGGAACCTTGCAGTCACCATGAAAATACAGAGTGAGGAGTTGGAAAGGGAGCAGACAGGCTCAGACTTGCTTCCACTCCACCTCAGACAAATGACAAGACTCCCTTGCTGCTGCCGATAATGCAATACCAGGCAATCTGTTACTATGAAGCATCATCAGAATATCTGCATCTTTCATACCACAAATGTAATGAGTTCGACACACTCAGCTGAACCTGTGGTACTGGACCAGCTTCCCCTCCCTCTCACAGGGAGCTGTCACTTTGCCGTTTGGAACAGGCAGCTTCCCTTGACAAGGCAGCTCTTTCCTGGAAAGGGGAGATAGAGCTGCCTTATCTCAGGGGGAACCAAAAAAAAGGTCACTCTCTGCTAAGTGGCAAGGTTCTCACCTTGAAAACCTCTCCCTTGACTGGTACAGAACACCCAAGGTTGTGGAACTTTTAATCAGATGCCTGCATAATTACTAAATCATTATTAATTATATCAGAGAGCAGAGACCTCGGAGGAAAGGCAAAGCAAACAAAGGGCCCGATGAAGTCTCCTCCGTTGTTGGAAAAAATTGGTAATTAAAAGTCATGAGTGCACTGAAGAGTGAGGGAGCGGTGTCGTAGTCAGCGTTCAGGACGCAGGAGTGACTTGCATGTTAAGGAGCAGCCTTGTCTCCCTAGGGAAATTACAGGGCATTGCTTTACAAAAAGCAGCAAGCATGGAAATGAAAGAGCAGTCCCGGTGTAACTGATAGCTTTATTCATGCAAGGAGGCCAACCCTGGCTATGGGGCCCCTTCAAGACATCCCCTCCGCATGCTTATGGCTTCTCCAGAGCCCCCTCTTACCTCCCCATACCATTTGAACTCCCACCCTGTAAGGAGCAAGGCAGAAAAAGGGACTCATCTCCACCCTCCCCAGGCTACTCATCAGCAACTGAACGGTTATTTGAAGTAATCCTTGCACTCAGGACTTCTGCTATACAACCACGTGGTAAAATGCTTAGCGTAGGCTAATGACTGCAGAATAGTTTCTTCCCTGTGCAAGTCAGGTTGGACCAGAGGGACAGAGTAAGTCTACCCAGAGGTCTTTCCTGCCCAAGTGCAGGGGGGCTGGACCCGATGACCTGTAAGGTCCCTTCCAGACCCTAAAAACTATGAAACAACCCTTCCAGGATTATACTGCTGCCCACACAAGATGGCCTCCACAGGAAGAGATACCAACTAGAGCAGGGGCGGGCAATTATTTTGGGCAGAGGGCCGCTTACTGAGTTTTGGCAAGCCATGGAGGGCCACATGACAGGCAGCCCAGGGCAGATAAATATTAATTTACTAAATTTTTTAAGGACCTTGAGGGCCGGATAGAACGGCCTGGCAGGCTGCATCCGGCCCCCGGGGCGCATTTTGCCCACCCCTGAACTAGAGACACTCTAACAGCATGAAGGCCATATGAGTCTCTACGAAACACCAAAATCATGTTTCTGTAGGGGACAAAACAGCTTTACAGACCCAGAGAGATGTCAGTAAATGAGAGAACTTTATTTCTTATATTGTATTTAATAGTTGATTTGAAAGGACTATGCAGGTCTACATCATAGATTCATAGATGTTTGGGTCGGAAAGGACCAAAGTAGATCATCAAGTCTGACCTCCTGCCCTGCGCAGAAAAGAGCACTGGGGTTAGATGACCCCAGCTAGGTGCATGGAGCTAGGTGCTCCTCTTAAAGACCCTGAAGGTAGGGGAGAGCACCACCTCCCTTGGAAGCCCATTACAGATTCTGGCAACCCTTACCATAAAATGCATACTTAGCCTACTTGTGAGCTACAACCCCTCCTGAAAACCACCGTAAGACCTGTTTAACAACAATTCAATTCACCTCAGACCAAAGTCTGTTTGACTGACAACTCTAGTGAACTCCCTCTTAGTAATTCCTGAAGACAAGTGCTACATGGACAGAACTTGCTCAGAAAAGACTGTAGAGAAGAATTGTAACAAGCATCTCTGCTGGACAATACATGAAAAATAAGGAACTTGATGCCACTTTAAGCAAAGTGATACGCACTTTCCCCATCTCAGAGCCCTGAAACACCAAAAGCAGGTTGCTGATGAAAGCTGACACACTAAATATGTGTGTGCGCCATCACTTGTGGGCAGCAACAAGTCACACTTAGACCCATGATACAGACAGGCAATCTATTCAAAGAGAAATAATGCTAAGCATTAAAGTAAGCCTTCAGGGAAAAACAAGTAAATAAGACTCTGGCAAGAAATGCCACGAGTTGTATTCAACCTGAGTCGAATGCTAAACAGGAGCTTTCTTCCAACAGATTGTGATATAGTAAATATGCAGGAGCTCACATGCAGACTCAACTCTCACAATGTACACACACTGGGAGGTGTGAAACACTAGAAACCTAGGGAGGAATCAGACTGTAACCAGCAGAGATCAAAACCAAGAGACATTTTCTACTCCACTGCTCACAATACAAAAAAAATCAGCCAGACTCTTCAAGGTGTTTTAAGTAGTAAACTCTCCCATTTAAAAGTGAGGAAGAAAAAGCAGAGAATGGCTCTGGCAAAAATAGCACTGTAATATGTGGCAGACTGCCGCAGAGTTAAAAAATTACTACCAAATAAGTCTGTGCTAAAAGCAGCCCCCTCAGGGGCAGCTACGTGATTATACTTCAACTTGATAGAACATGAATTCAGTAAACTTTTACTGGAATGCATCTGGTCTCTCCTCACCCCTTTCCTTGGCTTCCCTGGCTTTAAGGCCTGGTGTGTAACTGCCTCTTTGCAACATTGCAGGGGTTTAGGTTGTAGCCATGTTGGTCTAAGGACATAGGCAGACAAGGTTCCTTGGGTGAATTTGATATCTTTTATTAGACCAACCCAAATGGTTGGAGAATAGTTATTAAGCAAGCTTTCGGGTTCAAAAACCCTTCGTCAGGCTCAGGAAGCTGCAGCAGTTGGTGTGTGCTCTTCCTGGATGGAATGAAAAGTAAACAAGCCAGGGGCTGGGCTGGGCTGGGCTGGGCTGGGGAGTCAGTTGTCAGGCAGATTGTAATGTATCAAAAATCCAATGTCTATGTTTAGTCCCTGATCTCTAGTATCCAGCAGGTTGATGAAATGGAGCTCATAGGCTCGTCTCTGGGAAGTGTTGTGTAAGTTTCCCTTGAGGATCAGGACTGAGATTGGAGGGACAGTGGCCCTCCTGTGAGAAATGTGCCCCCACCGGTAATTGGGCATTTCTGTCTTTGATGGATTTCCGGTGTGCGTTCATTCTGGTGCGCAGTTGTTGTCTGGTCTCTCCTACATATCTTCCATCAGGGCATTTGGTGCATTGGATGAGGTATACTACATTCCTGGAGGTGCAGCTGTAAGATCCTGGGATGCTGATGGCTCTGTTGTGGGGTGTAGTAATAGTGGGGGTGGTGGAGATGTGGGGGCAGGTTTTGCATTTCTTGTCATGGCACGGTCTGGATCCTTTTGGTGTGTTCTGGGGTTGAGGAAGTTTGCTTCTGGTGATGAGGTTGGCGAGGTTCGGTGCTTGTCTGAAGGCTAGGATGGGTGGCTCTGGGAAGATCTTTTTAAGAATAGGGTCTTTTTCTAATATGGGTTGCAATTTTTTGAGGATTTTCCGTACAGGTTCAAGGGATGGGTGATAGGTCATAACCAGCGGTGTGCGATTTGTGGGTGTTTTTCTTCTGTACTGCAGCAGTTCTTCACGTGGTATCCAGGTGGCTCTTTCAAACGTGCGATCTACCTCTCTGGAGGAGTGTCCTTGCTGGGTGAAAGCCTTTTTAAGATTGGTGAGGTGGCAATCCCGGGTGTTCTCTTCAGTACAGATGCGGTGGTATCTGAGGGCTTGGCTGTATATCACTGCTTTTTTGGTGTGTTTCGGGTGATTGCTGGTTCTGTGCAGATATGTATGTTGGTCTGTGGGTTTCTTGTATACTGTGGTCTGTATTTTACCCTTCTGGATACTGATCCTTGTGTCTAAAAAGGGGATGTTGGTGTTGGAGTATTCTAAAGAAAGTCGGATGGAGGGATGGTGACTGTTGAATTTCTGGTGGAACTCAAGTAGAGATTCCAGGTTCTCACTCCAAATCACATCTCCACTATTACTACACCCCACAACAGAGCCATCAGCATCCCAGGATCTTACAGCTGCACCTCCAGGAATGTAGTATACCTCATCCAATGCACCAAATGCCCTGATGGAAGATATGTAGGAGAGACCAGACAACAACTGCGCACCAGAATGAACGCACACCGGAAATCCATCAAAGACAGAAACGCCCAATTACCGGTGGGGGCACATTTCTCACAGGAGGGCCACTCTCTCTCCAATCTCTCAGTCCTGATCCTCAAGGGAAATTTACACAACACATCCCAGAGACGAGCCTATGAGCTCCATTTCATCAACCTGCTGGATACTAGAGATCAGGGACTAAACATAGACATTGGATTTTTGATACATTATAATCTGCCTGGCAACTGACTCCCCAGCCCAGCCCCTGGCTTGTTTACTTTTCATTCCATCCAGGAAGAGCACACACCAACTGCTGCAGCTTCCTGAGCCTGACGAAGGGTTTTTGAACCCGAAAGCTTGCTTAATAACTATTCTCCAACCATCTGGGTTGGTCTAATAAAAGATATCAAATTCACCCAAGGAACCTTCTTTGCAACATTCACTTTTTTCCTGCTTGGCACTCACCATCTGCTCCGACTCCCAGTGGGAGAGCATCATACCTGTTGAAGATATCCCCAGACACTTTCTGAAGGTATTGAAGTGCATCTGCAACTTGCAGAATAGCCTCTTCCCTGCGCAAGTCAGGTTGGATCAGAGGGACAGAGTAAGTCTGCCCTTCCAGGAAGTGCTTCTGGGTCACTGTAGCCATCGTGCCTATGGAAGAGAGTGTGAAAAGGTCATTGGAGCATATGCAACTTCTTTTCATTACAGCATTTACTTAAGAACACAAACTACATCTATACTTACCTGGACTGGCAGCGGGCAGCACCCGACCCCCAGAATATGTACACAACCATGCACTTCTGGCAGCTCCACTTGGCAACTGTGCCAGCAGAGTGGGAAGGCAACTGCTGGCTAATGGCACAGGATTACCTACACATCAGAAGCCAACTGCACCTGGTAGAAGTGGAGTAACTCTGCTGGCAGATCAGAGGCTCCTAATGCTGCAGAGGGGCTCTGAGGGTGAATGCATTCAGTGTTTTGCCCACAGAACGGGACTTCTGTGGGCAAGACTGGAATGTAGACTAGGCTCCTAGCTGACTTGGGTAGCCACTCGAGAGAAAACCAAGAAGTTGGTCAGGGAGTCCGACCCAGAATTCTGAAATAGCCTCATGCAATCTGCAGTGCAGCACTTTCCCTGTCACCCTGGTATTAAGTTAGCATCTGGACTCCACCAAGCACAAGGGAGGAAAACAAGTGAAATGACCTGTGAAGAAGGAGGCTTCTGATTTGCCTGGATGTTCTTTGAGGCAAGGACTACATCTCTGCTCTGTGTTTTGTAGACAGCTGAACAAATCAGTATTCACATGCTGGAATCATGCTGACACCACTCTTAAATATTCAGGTATTAAATCATTTTGTCACTACCATCAGGTTTTTCCACATAATGGCAGAAGAACTTCCTGGATACCTCTCTAGATCAACATACCTAGTGGGATCACTGATACTACTAGATCAGCGGTGCATAGCCAATCAATTCAGAGAATGAAATGGAAGATGCTCTAATTTACATTTCTATCACAAGAACCCGTCTACTCTCCCTTTCCCAGCATCTTAGCAGTAATGAAATTGCCGCATGCCCTCACATGCACATACCCTCCTTTTAGGTATGGAAACCACATACCCTTCTTTACGTAGGAAACCCACAAGGGACTGTTCAAACTCTGACTAATCCAGTTCCTCCTCTGTATCTACATGCAAAGAACTCTGCTTGTTGTATATTCCTTTCTTCTACAAGACTTGGACATTTCACTGCAACTCCTCTGCAAAGCGAAGTCCCAAAACCCAAATATGCATGGTGCCAATGTCATCACAGAACCACCATCTTCTCTCAAAGTCAGCCTATGCCAGGGATGGGCAAAATATGGTCCACGGGCCGGATCTGGCCTGCCAACTGATTGGATCTGGCCAACAGGCTTGTGTCCACCAATTAGTTTTATCCAGCTCGCAGCTGCCTCTGTGCCGTTTTGCATGGAACTGAGCCCCGCCTGCTCCCGTCTAGGGCAACCCGCACTGCCTTCCTGCCTTTGCCTGCCAATGGGTCTGGCCAGTGTACAGAGCTTCTCAGAAGGGCGGCTCCTTATGTGACTATAAGTATTGCTCGGCTTCTCCTGCCACCTGGGCAGCAGGTAGTTCTGTGGGGACCCATGCTAGGCATCACACACCCAGGCAGGTGGTGGGGATGGAGGGGAAGCTGCAGCTGGGTGCTTGCTGCCCCAGCACATGGGGCTCCAGCTCCAAGCTGCTTTCCACCTACTCTGCTTGCCCAGCACAATGAGCAGCCTCCTGCAGGCGGCCAAATGCATGGAAGGCAGCCTGGAGCGTAAGCCCCACACGCTGGGGCAGGAGCCACCCAGCTGCAGCTTCCCCACCGCTTAGCTAGGCACGATTTGCCTGGTGTGCCCCCCCATGGCTGCCACTGTTCCCTGTACTACTTGCTGCCCAGAGCGGTGCAGCAGGAGCAGGAGGGATAGGAGGCAAGGGGAGCCCAACAGTACCTGGGTGGATGCAGCTGAAAGGAGCCCTGTCAAGATGTGCACGCTGGCTGGGGCTGGAGCGGGTGAAGCTCAATCCCACAGCAACCACACCTGCACTGCCCGGGCAAGCTCTGCTGCATGCGTCCCCAGCCTTCCTCCCTTTCCCCTTGGCTGGGTCCTGGGACCTAGTGTGTGGGCAGCCCCGCCCCCACACACAATAAATAAGAGTAAAACTTTGAGTTAGTATGCAATTGCCTCTACTATATACACTACTCAAACACATATAAATCAGAACAAAAAATATTTTTTGAAAAAAAGGTTATAGTACTGTAGGTGTTTGATTTTTAGTATAGGATTTGTTTTTCCATCTATAATTTGTTAAAAGGGTATCTTCTGAAAGGTTTTATGTGCACGGCCCTTGATAGCTCACCAAGGACCTTCCATGGTGTGCCACCAAAAAAACTGCCTCCCCTGGTCTAAGCCTAGGACAGGGTCAGATATTAAAGTGTCCCTAATAAACACCAGCCAACTGTACCTACGTCCTCCTTGCTTGCTCCCACAAAGTCCTGCTAGGTGACCTTCCCTGCACTTACATGATAGCGTATGGACCCCAGACAAGACATAATAGAGATGTTAACTTATCAAAATGCAAAGAAAAGGACTAATTTTCAATCACAGTTTAGCTTATTAGAAATGGATGAAGCAGACTTCAGTCTTCAGATACAGATGATTTCACAGTCTTTGCAAAACCACTGCAACTTCTTGCAACCCTAATCTTTGCTGCTAGGATTTCTTCCAATCCATTCCTCAGCTCAAGGAGAATGCATAAGATAGTGCACTGCAAATACTATACAGAGAGTCTAAGGTGGGGTCATTTACATGGCAAAGATAGGGAGAGACCATCATGATAGGGAGAAAAACAATTTATAAAGAGACTTAAACTACACTGCTCTCACTTTCCAGCTTCACAGTAGACCAGCTACTCTAGAGAACCGTCCCCTACGACCACTTATTGTGCAGTTCTCACCACTCTCCACATCATTTGCCCTCTCATATCCAAAATTACCCATGATACATGGTAAGAAAGCACAAAGCTGGGAAGTTACTTCCATTTTCATTTAAACAAATCTGACTGTGGGTAAAAGCATCACTTAAGGAAACAGGGAACCAAGATACCTTGCCTGTATCACAGATGGGAAACTTGAGATCACAAATCAAGTTCAGCTGTCAGTTTTGCAGACCCAATTCTTCTGTAGACAATCAACAATCGATTCTCATCCACTTCACACATCGCTGGCAGAACTATTAGCCAAGCTCTGAATCCAAAATCTTTAGTGATGATGTTTCCACATTCATTAAGCTCTTGACCACACTTATTCTGCAGACTGAAAATTGTCATTTTGACTTATAATTCCACAGCAGATGTGTTGTGTTTATCTGAGAAAGAATTATTCTAACAGGACAGTTTTCAATCTCTATTGACCGTAACCAAGTCTGAACCCTTACGCTTTCAAGATCAGCCGACAAATTGGAACAAACAGTAAAATGACAGGTCTGTATGTAAGGGGACTTTGCCACGTATCCATCTGAGAGACAAGAGGCACACACAGACAGTAGAGGACCACTGGGAATTTAGAAAACCTAAACATCTAATTTGTTCAGTCATCTGTAGGACATAATCGATTGTCCCAGTCCAGTTCCGTATTGACAAATGTTGACGCAAAAAGCTAGTCCTTCTATCACCAAATGATTTTGTTGGCGTTCAGAAGCCACAGACACTGAGATCCAGCTCCTACCTCACTTTGCAAGGGAGGCATAAGAGCAAGACAATGTGGAAGAAGCTTATGTTGCCATTTCCTGTGCTGTCCAGGGTTCGAATTATGCGGGAGCTCGGGGGGGGGAGGAGGGGGGAGCTGAGCACCCCCATAAGAGATGAGAGCCTTCTGGCTGCCACTGCCACAGACCCCCCACAAGAGTCAGAATATAAAATTCAAACCCTGGTGCTGTCCCTGTTTTGCTGCTAAACAACTTCAATTTTGTGGATTCCCAGCACCAGACATGCTTCTCTCCTTAAAAATAAAAGCAGGGACTCAGAGAAGGGGGTAGACAGAAATAGTCACATCTGACTTTATGCAAATCAATGTATTAAGAGATGTACAAAGATAAAAAGGAAGAATACAAAAGGAATCCTAAAATGGCTGGATATGGAAAATTAACTCTAAAAGATCTTTTTACTACTTGCTGTGACAAAACCACCAGAGAAAGGAGCAAATTGTGCAAATCATACAAGTACCTTGGCCCTGGAAAGAGAACAGGTTTATTCCTCATAGCTACTTGGGTTCTACAGAAACATGGGGACATTTTAAGCCTAGCACTCTTACCTGGAACAATTTCAACTTAGTTTGCTTGCAAGACAAGCATACAAGATGAAGCTAGATCAGAAGTGGGCAAAATATGGCCCGTGGGGCAGATCCAGCCCTCCAGGCTATTCTATCTGGCCTGTGGGGTCCCTCCAAAAGACAATTATTACCAACCTGCAGCTGCCCCTCTGAAAGCTGGTGGGAGGTATGGGCTTTCAAAGGCTGCGCACCATCAGAACAGGCTGGTTTTGTGCCTCCGCCTCCTTGGGGCTCCTGACACTCCAGCTGGGAGCCCCACATGGAGGCACAGACCCGGCCCGCCCCAATGGTGTGCAACTGCCCATGGCTCCCAGTACTCTAGCCAGGAGCCGGGGGGAGCCACATGCAACTGGGCTGGGCGGGCTCTGCGCCGCCACAGGAGCTACTTCACGGTCAGGGCGGCTAGGGTCTGGAACCAGCTTCCAAGTGAGGTGGTGCAGGCTCCCACCCTGGGGGTTTTTAAGAGGAGGTTAGATGACCATCTTGCTGGGGTCGTTTGACCCCAGTACTCTTTCCTGCCATGGCAGGGGGGCGGGCTAGATGATCTGCCCAGGTCCCTTCCGACCCTAGAAACTATGAAACATGCACCATCCGGGTGCTGTGCACCATTGGGCCGCGTTGGCTCCATGCCAGCACACGTAGGGCTCCTGGCACTGCAGGCAGGAGCTGTGCATCTTTGGGCCAGGCCAGGCTGGCTCTGTGCCAGCAAGTGGACCTCCCAGCATTGCAGCTGGGAATGCATGCTGCCAGACTGGGCTGGCTCCACACCTCCAAGCGT